TGAGGTCTATTCTAGGAACCCCAGTATCTGTGCACAACACTCACCTGGGCCCCAATTTCTGCCCCTCCCCCAGGAAGACAACGTGACAGATGACCTTGAAGGGCCAGTTGCACATTGATAAAATAATAAACTGATATTTATACGCAAGATCTTGTAGATGGAAAGATCCTATACCATAAAGACCTTGCATAAACACACGTAAACTTCTTAGTCAATGACAGTGTTGCAGTATACAGGGGTAAAGGCACAATGTTCTGTAGTCATCACTGTATCAGGCTAAGTTCATACGCGTGTGGGTCCGGAACGTGAGCATAATTACACGTTTTCCTGACATGCAGGCAAAATACGCAGCTCTTTACGATGTGTGTGGGTGCCATTAAGGCAGTATTAAACCCAAACGTTACACTGCAGCTTACCAATTCCTACATGTGATTGCTTCATTAGTTATTTAGGCTTCCTTTCTTGTATTTTCACCTGGTTATCTAACCAAGTATGCTGGTTTTCAACAGATCAAACTGTCCTGCAGATGAAGCAGTTACAGAATTTTAACAAACCATTTAACACTAGCAGGGGTGCTTACAATGAGCAGATTGTTTATGTAAAACCTTTAAACCAAAAAGAAAAAACTGTTGCTGTAACGGTTTACAACTTGTGAGCTGGAGTTTGTTAGTGTAGCTAAATCTGCTAGTCCATCTAACACTCCCTTCAGATTAACAATCCCCCTTGTTTCCTCTTCCAGAGTGGGGACACTAATACACAAGGTGTTACTGGCCAGATCACCAGCTGAAAACAGAAGGGAAAACCCTAGAAAACAGATTCAGCCACCACATCTAATTATTGGTAAGCTGCAATATATTACATTTTTAGTTTTGGGATCAATACTGCTCAACAGTACGCATATATACGGCCTCTTGGCAGGTGTGCCTTGACGGCAAGACCACATATATGAACCAAAATGTAAACAAACCTGTGTCGAGTGTGCAGTTACTTGCGCCTAACAAAAAGCTCCTGATCACTACATGCGATCAGGAGCTTTCTCATCATGTGACAGCCAATCACACGATCATAAAGCTTGCCTGCCTCCCGGCATCAGAAATCCTTAAAGGGTCTAGAGGTGCCGACATTAGGGGGTTCAGCTCATATAGGTACCCACACACATTGATAAATGAAGCACATTCTCATGTGCACAATACTGCATGGTGCCCCATACAGCTGCGTTTTTAGAAAACAGATTTCCGCTGACACAGTCAAATGAATGGGCTGCTGTGATGAAACAAACAGGAGCAGCACAGATGTGATCCCAGCCTACATATAGAGGGGACACGATGTGACAGCCATGTGCACTACAACAGCACACACATGGCAGGCCCTCAGAATAATGGGTGTGACCAGGGACCCCAGGATCTGAGCATTGCACTCATCCGGGCCCCCAGGAGGACAGGTAACAGGCGACCTTGTCCTAAGTATGGGATCAGAGAAGTGAGGCCTTGTTTACATGTCACTGATCCTACCCCAGGAGCCGGTGTGTGAGTGTGACCTCCATTCCCAGCGTGTGCTGAGCCCCCCCCATCCCTGGCCTGTGTACACAGCTCAGCGCCGCCTGCTGCTGGCGGTCACGTGGTGTGCGCTGAGGCGCGGGGAGGGAAGGAGCTAAGCGTGGGGCGGCCATAGGGGCAGTGCGGTCCCCTCACATGGCGAGCCCGCCCGGGGCCTAAGCCCGCTGTCTTCACAACAAAGGCGGGGGACACCGAGCGATGCTTACCTTCACACAGGACGAGATGGGACCGCCGCGAGGAGGGAGAGAGAGGACAAGAGCGGGACGGAGACCGGGAGGGGAAGGGAGGAGGAGAAGGGGGGAGGAAAAACAAGGGAGGAATGGGGAGGAAGGAACGATCCGGAGGCGAAGGGGGCCCCGGGGAGGGAGGGAAGGAGAGAGCCGGGCGGGCGAGGAATGGCGACGGCGGGAGGGGCTGGCGGGAGCTGCGGCTTCTGCTGCTGCCTCTGCTGCTCTGGGAGGGGGGAGAGGAGGAGGCGCGCGCGATGCTATCAACCCGCCCTCGCCGGAAGTCAACGCTTCTCGCCGCCAGCCCCTAGGGGGCGCTCCAGGGGAAGCTATCCATGAACATGGCGTGATTATGGAAGGCTGATGAAGGAGCGCTGACACCACAAGTCACAAACTCAGTGTTTAGCTAGGCGGCTTGCTACACTTGACGGAAGGGAAAACAAATGTTTCAGATCCCACTAGCAATGCGCCGGGATATATATTTTCGTATCACTGGGTGCATCGACGCCATCTTTCTACACCCTTTAGGAGCCTTCGGGCGTACGCCGTACTTCAGCGTGACGTGTGAGAGAGTACCAAGATGGAGGCATCAGCGCGTGACGTTCTTTTTATTAAGCTCTTTCTCGTACTAATTATTAAATAGGAGGCGCATGTCCTTCTATTATGTGGCATGCTTATGTTCGAGGTGGCCGTAAAAGGTCGTAAATAGTCCCCTGTCCAGGAAGCAGTGACGACGGGTTACTAAGATGGCTGATGGGAAGAGCTTAGGCAGGCAGGGTTGCCTTGAGTGAAACAAAATGGCGGCGGGAGCACTTCCGGCGTCGGTTGATGGTCATTGTCCTACGCTGCAAGATGGTTGATAGCTAGTTCTTGCTTTTAAAGTAAACCTGGTCTATATGGGGGACTCCGATTTCTTAATAATTAGTGACAGAATGTTACTTTCCTGGCATCCTTCTTCACTCTTGTTTATAGCTTTTTGCTAACACAGGACAAGCATGGAGATTGCGACTTTAAAGGTATATCCCACCTATGCAAAGAAAAAGTCCCGAAGCCTGACTGAAAAACTCCCAGAGATTACATTGTCCAGTTCTAGGGTTGCCATCTGTTACCTTTTTATACTGACAAAACATGGCCAGCACAGTGGCTAAATGGTTAGCACTTCCGCCTGGCAGTATTCGGGTCGTTGGTTTGAATCCCAACCACGGCACCACCTGCCTGGCATTTGCATGTTCTCCATGTGCCTGCGTGGGTTTCCTCCGGGTACTCCGGTTTCCTCCCACACTCTAAAGACATGCTGGTAGTCTAATTGGCTCCTGTCTAAATTGGCCCTAGTATGTGTATGTATGAATGTGACTTAGGGACCTTAGATTGTACACCCCTTGAGGGTTAGAGACTGATGTGAATGTACAACATATATGTAAAGCGCTGCATAATATTGATGGCGCTATATAAGTACCTGAACTAAACATGAAACATTTACTGAAGGAGCACATTTTTACTGACAGCCTGAAATATGACAGAAGCTCCTATTATAACCGCTTGCCAGCCGTATAATTGACATATACGGCAGCAGAGTTGCTCTCCTGCACTGGATCACTTGCCTAGAATGTGATCCGCGCGCACCAATTGGCCCGGCTGTGTTGTGATTCATTACAGCACATGCTGGTCACCGAGTCCCAGCCATTGATTGAGCACCAGGACCAGGTGATCAGCGCTAAACACAGTGCTCTCATTGTAAACAATACACTAACCTGGGATCTTGTTTTTTCATCCCTTGCTAATCAGGGAATAAAAACAAGATCCTTAGTGAAAGCAGCACAAGTTACACAAAGGCAAACAGTTAACCCCTTGATCGCCCTAGATGTTAATCCCTTCCCACTCAGTGTTATTATTACAGTGACAGTGCATTTTATTATCACTGATCACTGTATTAACCGTTTGCCCTCCAGAGGATTTACCCCCCTTCCTGACCAGACCATTTTGTAGCGATATGGTGCTGCGTTACTTTAACTGACAATTGCACAGTCCAGTAAAAAAAATGTCTAGTAATAACATTTTAAAAATCAAATTTTGTCATAAATTTAGGCCAAAATGTATTCTGCTACATGTCTTTGCTAAAAAAAAATCCCATATAAATTAATTGGTTTACATGAAAGTTATAGCGTTTACAAATGGTGGTATAGATACTGGAATTTTTTATTTTTTTTGCGGGTAGGGCAGGAGCGCGCCCCCTACCTGGAAATGCAAAATCGCGTATATTTATGTGATTTTGTGTACCCATGCCACCCTGTAGCAGTATTTCTGCTATAGGATGGCGCAGAACCAGTTAATGTCACTGGTGATGTCAGTGGCAGTTTGTCATTTCCCCGCAGCGTCAGTTATTGTCAGATTGCCATCCGCGTTATCACAGTCCCATTAAAAGTCGATGATCCCTGCCTTTAGTAGTATAAAAATTCCAGTAATATACCCTATAGTTTGTAGACAATATAACTTTCATGCAATCCAATGTATATACACCTATTGGGATTTTGTTTTTGTTTTTTTTTACCAAAGACATGTAGCAGAATACATTTTGGCCAAAATTTATGAAGAGATTTTTTTTTTTAAATTTTATTGGATATATTTTATAACAAAAAGTAATTCATTTATTTTTGCAAAATTTTGGGGCTTTTTTTGTTTACATCACAAAAATTAAAAAAAAAACAGTGATCAAATACCACCAAAAGAAAGTTCTATTTGTGTGAAAAAAAAAATATCAATTTTCTTTTGGGTACAGTGTTGCATGACTGTGCAATTGTCAGTTAAAGTAACGCAGTGCCGAATAGCAAAAAATGGCCTGGTCATGAAGGGGGGTAAATCTTCCGGAGGGCAAGTGAATAAAGAAAGACAGTCCAATATTTAACCGCCTCCCACTCGCCATATAAGGCAATGATGGGTGCAAGGCGTTTCTCTCGTTCTGGGAGGACGTCATATGATGTCCTCCCATTCTAACAGCGCATGCGCGGCTCCGGGAGTGCGCATCACGGCGATTGGTGGTGCGCTGTGTCCCTCAGACACAGCGGATCACCGATCAACAGAAAGAGCCGAAGATTTCAAGCACAGCTGATCGCATGTAAATAGGGAAATGACGGTTATCGGCATTTCTCTCCTCACAAGCTGTCATGCTGACAACTCGAGAGGAGGGGAGAGCCGGTAATCGGCATTCCTCAGAGAGGACATGCGCACTGATCATCAGGGCACTGATGATCAGTGTAGCCCCAGCAGTGCCACCTGTCAGTGTCCATCAATGCCAGCTGTCAGTGCTTATCAGTGCCACCTGTCAGTGCCACATCAATGCTACATATCAGTGCCTACCAGTGCACATCAATGCAACATATCAGTGCCCATCTGAGCTGCCTTTCAGTGTCACCTATCAGTGCCACCTATCAGTGCCAGTCAGTACCGCCTATCAGTACCATATATGAGTACTGCCTTTCAGTGCCCATCAGTGATGCTTGTTAATGCCCATCAGTACCACCTACCAGTGCCTCCTCATCAGTGCCACCTATCAGTGCCCATCACTGCAGCCTCAGCGCATATCAGTGAAGGAGAAAAATCAGTTTAGCAAAAAATAAAAAACCCAGAGGTGATTAAATATCACCAAAAGAAAGCTCTATCTGTCTCAAAAAAATTATAAAAATTTCATATGGGTACAGTGTTGCATGACCGCGCAATAGTCATTCAAAGTGCGACAGCACTGAAAGCTGAAAATTGGCCTGGGCAGGAAGGGGGTATAAGTGCCCTGTAGGCTAGTGGTTAAAGGCTACATTCCCCTTTAAAGTGGTTGTCAAGGGTGAAGGTTTTTTATCTTTGTATTCTATGCATGAAGGTGAAAGCCCCTCAGTGTCCCTCTATTAGATTCCTCTTCTGGCACCTTGTTTCTGTCCTACAGATCTCTGCACCAGATTCATATCCAAGATCTCCAACTCCACGACTCTTGGAGAGTACTCCACCCAAACGTCAAAGATTACACGTTCTTTTCTTCCCACCATAACAAATACTCTAGAATCAACTACCTCTTTCTCTCTCAAGTAAACTTACCTTTTCTGCATCACTCCTCCATAGATCCTGTTCTTTTCGGATCACCATCCCATTACCATGACCTTAAGTTTCCCTGAAAAACATTCCCGTACAAAATTGTGGCAACTCGACATGTCCCTCCTCGCTGATGTGGCAAATGAGGCTGACTTGCGCTCCAAACTTAGGGAATACTTTCAGACCAACCAAACTTCTGATACCTCTCTCTTGACCCAGTGGGAAGCACATAAATGTGTAATCCGAGGGACGTTCATTGCAATGGCAACCAAGCGTAAACGTGACCGTCAGGCATCCATAAAGCTCTTACTGGACCGATTCAGTTACCTCGAAAAATGAAAAAACCCATAAACACACCCAGGCCCAAATGACCTTAGCAGAAATCATGACCACCTGCTCACAGCTGATGTCGGAGCTCAGTAAGGCTGTCAAACACAAATTTATTATCTCTCAGAAGCTTTTTCTATGAGTAGCAAACAAGAGTGGTAGATTTTTGGCAAGAGCCCTCCGAGCAAAAAAAGCAAACTTGACGGTCCACAAAAAAAGGGGCACCGACGGTTCCTTGGCCACCTCAAACACTTATATTTCCTCTCACTTTGAACGGTATTATACCGCCCTCTACAACCTTCCCTCAGAATGTCCCCCGACTAAATCAGATAAATCCAGATCCACCCTGATCTCGGAGTTCCTACATCTCTACAGCCCTCCTGCAATCTCAGAGGATTTAGCACAGGACCTGGGACAAAACATCTCCTCTGATGAGTTACTTCTGGACCTCAAACAAATGAAAGCTGGCAAAAGCCCAGGCCCTGATGGCCTTTCTGTGGACTACTAAGACTTTTATAGATGTTCTACGCAATCCTTGTCTTGAGGCTTTCAATTCTTTCAACTCCCCCTCTGCCCATCCAAATTGGTTCCTAGAAGCTCATATCACTGTTATTCCCAAAGGGGGAAAGGATTCGACCGCAGTTACCAGCTATAGGTCGATTTCACTCCTGAATGTCAACGTCAAACTTTATGCAAAAATTTTGGCCAATCGATTTCTCTCGCTGCTTCCCTCTCTGGTCAACCTAGACCAAGTTGGTTTCATCCCTGGGAGAGAAGCGAGAGACAATACTACTAAGGCCCTGAACATCCTTCATTTCTTCTGCACTTCTCAACAACCTGGCTTCCTCCTTTCCTTGGATGCCGAGAAGGCCTTTGACAGGGTGGCCTGGGACTACCTAAAGGCCTCCTTGTGTTCAGTAGGTCTAAGAGGAAATATGACTAATTACATCATGGCCATGTATTCATGTCCAATGGCCCAAGTCCATGTTAACGGCCACCTGTTAAGACCCTTCCCTCTTAAAAATGGCACACGTCAAGGGTGCCACCTGTCACCGCTTCTTTTCGTCCTAATGCTAGAACCTTTGCTTCGTATACTCAGCGCGAACCCCAATATCAAGGGAATTTCCATTGAAGGACACACACATAAAATTGCCGCTTATGCAGACGATATCCTACTTTTCCTATTGGAACTCAGAACCACTCTACTCAACCTTCTTAAAGATTTTCGTTCCTTCCAATTCCTCTCCGATCTCAAAATTAATTTCTCCAAATCCTGTGCTCTGAACATCACCATTCCTCATGAGGAGGTCGTTTTTTTTTTTGTAAGTCTCACTTCCCGTTCATATGGGAAAAGGAGGCACTTACTTATCTCGGAATACAGCTCCCTAGCACTCTCCAAGATCTTTACGCTAAAAATTTTCTCCCCAGACCTTCGAGCCATTCAGGAAAACCTCTCGAAATGGCACCGCCCACGTTTTTTCCTGGTTCGGAAGGGCTGCAATCCTTAAAATATGAATATCCTTCCCCACCTTCTTTACCTTTTCCAGACCATTCCTATCCACTTGCCGCCTGCCTTCTTTGCCCTTTGTAGGAAACTTTGCTCTCAGTTCCTATGGAGTTTTAAACGCCCACGTATTTCCTTTTATCATACTCGGGAGAAGTAGCAGAATGTATTTTGGGAGTAATTCCACATGTACCCATGGCATGCGTGAGCAATAAATAACTAAGTGAAAATTTTGTGTACAAAAAAAAATTTTTTTTGTTTGTCATTTTCCAAAAACTTGTAAAAAAATAAATTCTATTGATTCAACATGCCTCTCAGCAAATAATTTGGGGTGTCTACTTTCCAAAAAGGGGTCATTTTGGGGGGTGGGGGTGTTTTATTATGCCCAGCATTAGAAGTTTATGCCACACATCATTCACTCTTAACCACCTGAAGACCAAGCCTTTTCTGACACTTTTTGTTCACATGAAAAAAATCAGTATTTTTTGCTAGGAAATTAATTTAAACCCCAAACATTATATATTTTTTTAAAACAGACACCCTAGTGAACAAAATGGTGGGTACTACAATTTTTTATGACACATAGTACTCACACAGCGATTTTTCTAAAGCATTGTTTAAATAAAAAATACACTTTTTTTTACTTTTAATGCACAAAAACACAATATATTGAACAATTATTTGGAAACATATAAAAGATGCCGAGTAAATAGATACCAAACATGACATGTTTTAAAACTGTGCATGCCCCGTGCAATGGTGACAAACTGCATACGTTTTTAAAATCCATAGACAACATTTTAAAAGCCTTTACAAGCTACCATTTTAGATTTACAGAGGAGGTCTAGTGTTAGAATTACTGCCCTTGATCTGCCGTTCGTGGGGATACCTCACATGCATGGTGCAACTGCTGTTTCCAAACTGGCACAGGGTCAAGGCTCACAAACTCGTGTGCGCGGGGGGGGGAAGTGAGGGTACTTTTTTTTTTTTACGTTATATAGATTTTTTTGATTATTTTTTTACACTGTCCCTTTATTTATTTTTTTATCACTTTTAATGCTATCACAGGGAATGCAAATATCCCCTATAACTTCAATGGGCATTGTCATATATATTTTTTTTTTCAGAAATCTGGGTTCTATCAGACTCTAGATATCTCCTCTGCCCTTACATTATCTAATCAAACCAGGATCGGTGTGATCAGATGCTTTCCAAATTTACAAATGGCGCTGTTTATATCCTGCGCAACCGAAGTGATGACATGCTCGTAGCTTCTGATTTCTTAGGCTATAGAGATGATTGGCACCATTCTGGTCTCCAATCAGCTCTATGGTCAGCTGGCAGAAACACCGGCTGCATTCTCAGGTTTCCCTGATGGCACAGGACTGCCCGAGAAGGCCATGGAAGGCAGCAGGGGAGGGGGGGCATTGTCTTCTGCTGCTTGTAAAAGCAATCCTGCAGTTAATTAGCCATTAGGATTGCTTTTACATGAAACCCGCTTGCCAGCTGAAAAAAAATGATACCAGGATGATGCCTGCAGCTGTAGGCATCATCCTGATATAACCATTCAAAGTCCAGTGATGTACCAGTACGTCACTGGTCCTTGTTGGGTATATCTGCTATGTTCTTTTTTTTTTTTTTGTATGCAGCCTGTGGGCTGAATGAAAAAAAATGAAAAAAAAAAAAAAAAATGCCCGCCATTAAAATATACCGCCCTGCATCCACCCACTTCTAATGGTGGGCACACATTAGGTCACACTTTGCCACATGCGCCAATTCCAAGATTGTACAAATGTCTAAATAGTGGCATTCTTCAATAAAAATTGTCCATGTATAAGTGGTACCCCATATGGAAAAAGGATAACACCAAGTCCCAAACTATCTTGCCACTGCTCCCCATGTAGTCTGGGCATCTGGGGGGCTCCACGTGACTATCTTTTCCTTCGTAAATCCAAAACTTATAAGTATAGCCTGTTGCCCTCTCACAAGTCTTCTACATCTTGTCCCAATATCTGGCACGCTTGCTGGGGAGAAATTGAATGCAAGGCGGCCAGAAAAATTAATGAGGGACTCATCAACGCAGATGTTTTGCTGGGGAGTATAGACATCTGCAAATTCTTGGTTAAGATGATTTACGAGGGGCTGAATTTTGTGGAGCCGGTCAATTCAGGGTCACCCCGAGGACGACAGAGTGTATTGTTGTTGAAATGCATAAAACACATTATACTCTCATATCTATGCCTGGCAATGGCAGCGGAGAACATGGGCATATGATGAATTGGGTCTGTGGACCAATACAACTGCAATTCATTTTTTTTAGTAATGCTCATGTTGAGGGTTAGGCCCCAAAAAAATATAAATTCGAAAACCGTAATGTATTCATGCGAATAGTCTGTCAAGGTTTGAATTTGGGTTGGTGGCAATATATTGTTGTGCATATAAAATGCTTTGATCCACAATCAATGCATACAGATCTTCCGTGAAACACAGCTCCAAAAAATCAAGAGGAGTTAAATTTGTTATTTCCACTTGAATTCCGGGTTGGGCAGTGAATGGGGGAAGCACGGGTGCTGCAGAATTTGTGGGCTACCAATCAGGATTTGAAGCACATCTGGAAGGATACTAGGGGTTCTAGAGGCTGTGTGAAAATTCTTGGTGGTTGCGGGACATACTTGTGCTCGCCACCGCACCAGCTTGTACTGCACTTAT